ACCCCCAGTCTGAAATTCATATCCAAAGGCGGAGACTACAAAGCCTTTGCAGCCTGTCAATTCGGCGAAGCACAAAGGCCGATCAGCAGCCAGAGTGAAGACCCATTCAAATTAAGCTGCTGACGCGACTTTACCGCGGTTGTTACGCGAGCGAGCGGCACGTGAAGTCAAGAGCTGAGCTCGACGTGGCCGGCAAGCTCGGTGGGACAAGCTGGTTTGTAGCTAGGTACACCCACCAAAACTCAAAGTCGGTCAAGAGGCGATCGTCATTTTGGTTGTGAGCGATCGAGCGCGTTGTACGATTCGAGATTACGGAACCTGCGAGATCTATCTCTCGCACCGCTCGCTCTCCGCCGCTATAGCCGTTCTGTGGTGCGAAGGCGTCCCACCAACGGAATAAGAAACTTGGAAATTGATTCGCAAACTTTATAATAAGCATGCAGCACCTCCTCCTTTTGCTTTCAACCTCGAGAAATTCTCCACATCTATGCATGGTCGGGCTTTATAATTTGAATCAAGCCCCAAAATGCGCGCTCAGCGTTTTTGGCGAGCGGGAGCGAGGGCTACAGGATCAGGCAAAGCGATTCAAGGATTCAAGATTGAGTCGTCAGTCCAATTGTGCTGAGCGATGATTGAATGCGCTATTATTGCGCCGTCGTTTCTAGTGGTGGTTACTAATTACAATCACGAATAGCTCCCGGAAACGATCGAGCTGCCTGAATATGTCATGTTACCGGTGGCGTGAGCAGTCGTGAGTCTCGTACATCGCTAGGTACGTTCGACCTACGATTCAGGGAGGCGAAACTTCGGTCTGGGATGGGGCCCCTACGCTTGCAATCACGAATGGCGCACTCCTCCACCAGTCATATGAGCAGAAGGAACCCAAATTGAAGGCTCGAGCAGATCCATGATCGAGAATCCGTGTTTGCGTGCGACGAGGGGTGAGGCGAGCGAGCGTACACCACTCAAACTGCTGGTGGATCTTCGGATGGTTTGGTGCTGAGTGATGGATGTTAGCAGTTGTCGGAAATATGCTTTCTTCTCCTTTCAAACCACCACTCCGCGTACAGCGTGGCACACGCTCATCTCCACGAAATACGTCTTCAGGATAAAGTCGCCATAACATGGTTCTGCCGGGTTTCCTCGACATTCGAGCTTGGGGTTTCTTCCCTGGCGCCCCTCAATGGACTTCCAAACATATACCTGACCAGACCGGCAAGGTTGCCATTGTGACTGGCGCAAACGTAAGTGGCACTGAATGATTGCTAATCTCATGTGCCGGTCCTGTCACTCTCTGATTCACTATCGATGGCTTCTCTCAGACCGGTATTGGTCTCGAAACAGCATACAGACTAGCCGAGAAGGGCGCAAAAGTCCATCTCGCTTGCAGGAGCAAAGACAAGGCTGACAAGGCCATCGAGTACATCAAAACAAAAGTTTCGAACGCTCAGGTGCAGTGAGTGAGAGGAAGGTGTGCGCTCAACTCCCTCGGTGCGGCGCGACTGACACAGCCCTTGTTGGTCAACATCTGCAGATTCTTACAGCTAGACTTGTCTTCGCTGCGCTCCTCTCTCGACGCAGGCAGGCGATTTGCCTCGACGGAGCCTAGGCTCGACCTCCTCATCAACAATGCAGGTGTCATGATGCCTCCTGAGGGATCGTTGACGCAAGACGGATACGACCTGCAGTGGGGCACCAATAACTTGGGCCATCAAGCCTTTACCCAAGCGCTTGTCCCACTGCTCAAGAAGACTGCAAAGAGCGCATCGGCTGGGTCAGTGCGGATAATTTGGGTTGCCAGCTCTGGACACTGGATCCTTGCACCATGGAGCGGCGTCGACTTCGAAAGTTTGAAAGAGGGCAAACATCGCAAGCGAGACACCAATGCCCACTACGGTATCAGCAAGTTGGGAAATGTGCACCAAGCTGCTGTTCAAGCTAGGCAGCTGAAGAGTGACGGGATCATCACTGCCAGTCTGCATCCAGGCAACATCTTTTCCGACTTGCAACGGCATCAACCTTGGATCGTCAAGGCGATCACATCGATCGCCTTGCACTCCACCGAGCGGGGCGCACTGACCTCTCTGTACACTGCTACGAGCCCAGACCTCACTTTGGCTGAGAGTGGCTCTTACTACGTCCCGTGGGCGCGCAAGTGGAACACAAGCCATGCCAAGGCAGATGATCCTGCAGCTCAAGAAGCTACGTGGGAATGGAACGAGAAGGAGATTGCCGCTTTTGAGTCCAAGGCTCGCTGATATTGCCAAATTGCCCGTCTTGAGTCCAAGGCTCGCTGATATTGCCAAATTGCCCGTCTCAAATTGGGAACAAACCATTGCTACATCGCGCGTTGGTCTCTATCGCTTGACACTTCTATGAGATTGGTTCTTGGTCCGATGCTGCTTTTATTTGCTCCACGTTGTGATTCCTCCTATTCCATGCTGTTTGTGCTCACCCACCGCAACTCTTCAATGCACCTGTTCACCCTCTGTCGATTGATTGGTGCTCGCGCGCAAGCGCTGTGAGAGGGTGGTGAGACGAGATTCACGATTGCAACAAGCGTCAACGTGTTTTCTGACTCAGACTCGTGACTGTCGACCTCCATGATTTCCATTCACATTCAGGCATACGCACAGCATCCTCGATCATAGCGCGCGCACGCACCACCAAGAGGAATTCTTGGCCGACGCGTTCCTGCACCTGCACGACGGCTGGGCGACAGCACATGCAGCGTCGTGAGTCGTGAGTCGTGAGTCGTGAGTCGTCATTCGCGATTAAAAGATGACAAAAACCTTTGACACGCTTCTCATCCCCTTCCTTACGCTCTGCCAGGCGCGCACCGATTCGTCTGCAGAGCTCGAGCTAGTTGATCTGAGGTTGACCCACAGCAATGTAGTCCGAGTTGCCTCAAAGCTCGATAGAAGTTGGGAAGGCGGATCTGGGCGGAACTGAACCTCCGCACTCGTGACTGGGCACTCGGGAAACAAGCTGGGGCCGAGACTCTCACTGACCCCCGCTCTTGCCATGACGCCTAGTCCCGAAGTAGCTCCCGCTTCCCTTGGCTCCGGCCCGAAGATTCAACCTCGTCGCTCGCGCTTATCACCGCCATGGAACTCTTGCAGCACCCATCAGGCTCTGCCGAAAGCGTCAGCTATGCCTGTCGAGGTTGCTGACGATATTCAAAATTTCAAACCACTTTTTGAATACATTGCTCAGAGGCAGCCAGATCAGCAGATGGATGAGACCCCTAACGATGCGTCCGTGCTGTTCGCAGAAAAGGGCTGGGGTGCCTCCTTTGCGCGGTTTCAAAAGGGCGCCATTTGTCTTCAAGATGGCAGACTGGACCTGTATCAGCACGGTCTGAGCAGTGTCCATGTGCCTCTGCTGACCGCGGCGCTGATGGAACACTTCTCCCGGCCCGAGGCTGCTTGGACAATTCGCCACCTACTTCTAGGCAACAATGTTTTGGGCGACGTAGGCATCAGAGCGCTTAGCTCGTTTCTGCACGATTGTCCTGGCGCAAGACAGCATCTCATGACTTTGTACATCCCTGCCAACAACGTAACATCGCAAGGTCTCGCAGACATGGCTAGCATACTGCAAACGGACGCGCTGGGTATTCAGAGCTTGTGGTTCAAGCGCAACCCCTTGGGCCCGACCAGTGTTCCTGCGTTGTTGGCCTTGGCTTCGAGCTGTCCCGCACTGCGCTGCCTCGACGTCGATGTGTGCGAGTTGGGCGATGATGGATGTGCAGCGTTGTGCTCTGGTCTGCAACATTCCAACACCAAGCTATGCACCTTGTACCTCTCTGGCAACGGCGCTGGTCGCAAGACATGTTTCGCTCTAAGGAATTTATGCGCTTCTCCTGCCTCCCCTGAATCTCTATACTTGACGTGCTCGCCAATCGGGGACGAGGGCATCGCAATCCTCTGCGACGGCTTTGCCCGCAACACAAACCTCCGCCGCCTTGTCTTGGGCTCGACGGGAATGTCTTCAGCAGGCGTGTCGGCATTGTGCAAGACGATTGCCGACCATCCTACCCTCTTGCACCTCGATCTATCCCGCGCTCCTGGGACAGGCGATCTTGAAGCACACTCAAATCACATCAGCAAAGAAGCGCTGACGCCTATCGCATCGCTCATCGAAAGAGCAGAGTCACTGCGCTCGATTGTTCTAGGTCGCCTGGAGATCGACAAGCAGGATCTGGAACAGCTGCGTGGTGCTGTGCTAATTCGAGACTTTCCAAAGCGCCGCATCACAGTCTTCTCAGCCTCGCTGCCAAGCGACGAAGCAGACAGGGAAGCGCGCACCTCGGTTCGAGCGAGAAGAGACCGTTTCCAAGCGGCTCTGTCCCAAGCAGGGCAACAAGCCGTCGTTCAAGAAGGAGGCGCAGAGTGGCTCGGGAACCCGAAGGGTCTCGACGTTGTTGCTCATGACTTTCTGCGCTTTGAATGTAAGACACCGTCGGACAGGCTATATGAGCTGACCAAGCGACTCTTGGCCAACCCGCGAGAGGTCAGAAATGCCGACAGTATCTTCAAGGCGGAGGTGCTGAGAAGCAGGAAGAAGAGGCAGCCCCTGCGTGGTAAGCGCTGACTACAGATTCGAGAAGAATTGCAGTCTCTGCAAATACCACTTCCGCCAGCTGCACTTGTACCTCCTAAACGAGTACGAGATGGACTTTCGGCCGCCGGCGTAACAAGGCTTCATCATGCTGATCAATTCAAAGGTGACTTTGCGCATGCATGATGGCCGCCATTGTGATTGCCGAGGTTTCGTGAGAGAGACACGGTTGATGATCGTGTCGAGTCGTTCCTTGCTCAGAGACCGAGCGGCGTACGCATGGCAGCATCGAGAAACGGTCCGAATGAACATAATTTCAAGTCAAAAGTGTGAACCCAGCAGCGGGCAGACTGCATGACGCGCGGCAGGAGGTTGTGCCGCTGCAGGCACGTAGCGAGCGGTCATGACTCACGAAGCGGAATCACAATCGTGAATCACAATGCCATCCATGAACGTGCCATGCAGGGCTGTGCTTGATGGGTGGATTTGATTTTGATTCAAGATTCACGATTGCATTGACTGCATCAAGGTCGACTTGGATGACTCGTCGCTTCAGCCTGTCTGTCTTGCTGCATACCATCACTTCTCAATCACAGATCAACGTGGCATCAATGTCTTCGCTCTTTGGCGCTCTCTCAGGTGCGCTAAGCGCTGCCCAAAAGGTCGTCTCTGGCTCGCAGCCCCACACACGTTCGCTCCAAAAAGAGGTGAGGACTTGGCTACATGCCGGGGGTGGGCATACGCAATTGTAGTCGACATTGCCGGGCGGCTGACCCGATCGAAATTGCGCAGATCCGTATCAAAAGCTTGCACTTGCACCCCATCAAGTCGTGCGCGGGCAGCAGCGTTGCGGAAGGTGAGGATACCTGTCTCGTCGCTGCTCCTACCAAGGTTCTGCTTTGCTGACACCTCTTCTCGGGCTCGGCATCGCCAGCGGAGATCACGCAAGAAGGCTTCAAGTATGATCGCACGTGGCTCATCATCGATGCAAAGGATAAGAAGTTCTGCACCGCTCGAGGCACACCGCATATCGTTCGCATCAAGCCCACGATCGACTTGCAGAGGGGAGTGCTGGTCATCGAGGTGCCAGCGTCGAGGGAGGAGCAAGCAGATGCGGAAAGCACGACTCTGGAGGTGCCTTTGGACCCATCGAACGAGGAGCTGAGCAGGGCGGAGCTAGTGTCGGATGTTGAGATCTGGTAAGTTTGTGCTGCGGCGGTGCAGGTATGGATGTCCTGCTCGACGGCAAAGCTAATGCTCCAAACGCTCTACGAGCACCAGGGGTTTCCTTGCGGATGGATATGCAGTCTCGAAAGAAGCAGATGATGCGCTCAGCAAATTCATGGGCAAACCTGTCAGGCTGGTGCGAAAAGGTCCAAAGGTGCGGCCAGGTGGGCTCGATGACCCCCGTGGCGAGGAGTCCAAGACCAGCTTCCAGGACTTTCACTCGCTGACTGTGGCGTCAGCAGAGTCATTGCAACACGTTCAAAAGACGCTCGTGGCTAGCGTATATCCAGAGACAGCTCAAGCAGGGGACATGAAAGTTGTAAATACTGCAGTCGAAAGCTTCACTGTGCCAGGCAGCCTAAACAGAGAGTTCTGGACCGGTGAGTATATCAACCTCGCGCCTGCGTAGCATCGAGCTCACAGCAACTCTCCACGCGAACGCAGAGGAACGTTTGTCGAGATTCCCGATCGAACGCTTTCGCATCAACATTATCCTCGAGTCTGCTGGCAACAACAAGCTTGAGCCATGGGAGGAAGATGGTTTCAAGAGGATCGAAGTTTTCCCGGCTTCGCAGGCCTCTCACGCACCCTTTGGCCCAGACGCGCGTGGCAATGGCGTCGGCATTCACGTCAACGCCAAATGCGGACGATGCCTCGTCCCTTCAGTCGATCTGAACACTGTGAGTGCCGATGGAGTCATGTCTCGCAATGGTGCTCATGACGTGTCACACTCTATCGGGCCAGGGCAAGAGAGATCCGCACATTCCTTATCTCGTGTTGCAAAAGTTCAGGCAGGTGCAGCCCGAGCTGAAAAAGGTGGGCAAACCGTGCTGTGAGTGACCGTCGCGTATGCCAGTGTTTGCGCCTCGAGCATGTTGATCTCAACTTCTGCCTCTTCGCTCGGCCAGTCGGAGTGCTCTCCGCTCCAGCACAGAACACCGGCTCCCTTCGAGTGGGAGATGTGGTTCGTGTTGTGAGCACAGTGGACCCTGACACCCGACCCCTCACGAAGTGATAGTGATGCACCTCCGACAAGAGGGCCGCTGACACTTAGCAGCGACTCTTTCACATCGACAATCACGAATGTATGATATGACGAATCCTGCTATGTGACAGATACACCTCCCTGAGCAGATCATCAGCAACTCGAGATGAACGACTCGTGCTAGCACCACGTCTGAGCGCTTTCAGAGCGTCTCTTCGGATCTGTTTCACCATGTAGGGCGGGCAAAGCGCACACGCGGAGACTGCGCCGTTGCTTCCGCGGACGTTTGTCCGAGCACACGTACGCGCGCCCGCGTCCGAGCGAGTCGACTCCGTATATATGAATGTGAAGGGAGTGTGGGGAGAAGCACAGGCGTGCATGCATGCAGTCACGGTCGTAATTATTGGTCCAACGCATTGCTGGTCGTTGTTCAGCTTTGGCCGATCTTGTCGCTTCGCATAGAATCACTTCGCGATCCACCCACGATGACTTTGAATGAACGTAAAGAGGAGACGCCAACCTTGTTGTTCGACATTTGCAGCTGATGTCAAAACGCTTGCCTTTCGCTCCTGCTGTTACATACGCGGCACCATCACCCCCCTCGGTGAAACATCTGGATTGACAACACGTTCGCGCGGACATCCCGCGGCCTTGCACGCGCCACTCGTGACTCACACCTGTTTCACTCGTGACTCACCCGGAAGTTTTGGACGCTTTGTCCGGTCATCTTCGATATCATCGCAAAGCCGGTGCCGGTCGTTTCGAATACCTAAGCTCGATATTGGCGTTTGGCGACTGTAGAAGCGCAGCCGACCCTCGGCAGAGCTGATTGCCGAAGTCGTGAGTGACTGAGCCTCGGAGCTTGTTTTGCAAACGAGATGGGCTCCCACGTCCGGCTTTTGTGGTCTCGAGGGCTCTAGCCTTACAAGCAGATACTCCCTTGCTCCGCGCAGTGGTCTCGATCATGGCCAGCAAGATGCCCCAATCATGGCAGATGGCCAGGATCACATGTGCACCGAGCGGCTCAAGCAGGTCTTACGGCCTCGGCGCCTCAGCAAAGCTCCAACACCGATCGATTTCGAGGTGTATGACGACTGCCGCTCAATGCCGCAGCGCAAAACCAACCTCTGCCAACAAGACTCATCTGCCTGGTCATCCCACCTCTGCCTTTGTGCCAGACTTGAAGGCTGCTTTCGTGGACGCAAAAGTGGGCGGCATACCGACGTACAGGCTGACGGATGGTCATGGAAAGCTGATAGAGGGGGTGCAGGAGGATAGTTTGAAGGTGAGAGAGAGAGAGGATGTCTACAAACCACTTGACGAGAGCTGCCATTCTGGCGTTGATGCCAAAAAGGTGAGCTGACTGGATGTTGCGATCTGTCAGCTCGGCAAAGAGGAAGCGGTGAGGATGTATCGGACAATGTTGTTGCTGCCCACGCTGGACGTGATCCTGTACGCCTCTCAAAGGCAAGGCCGCGTGTCCTTTTGGATGACGAGCACAGGGGAGGAAGCTTCAATAGTAGGATCTGCTGCGGCTCTATCAGACACCGATGAGGTCTTTGCTCAGTACAGGGAATTTGGAGTACTCCTTTGGCGTGGGTACACGGTGGACAATGTGATGGATCAGGTGGGTAGAGTGACGTTCTGAAGCAGCGACCGGCGAGTTGAAGGCTCAGCTCCTGCTTTGATGCCCTCTGGCCAGGTCTTTGGAACTTGCGACGATCCAGGAAGAGCCAGACAAATGCCTGTGCACTTTGGCTCAGCGAAGCATCACTTTCATACCATCTCTTCTCCGCTCGCTACTCAAATCCCTCAAGCTGCGGGTGCTGCGTACGCTCTCAAGCGCACGCCTGGGAGAGAAAATAATGTCGTGGTATGCTACTTTGGTGAAGGTGCAGCCAGCGAAGGGGACGCGCACGCGGGGATGAACATTGCGGCCACCCTCAGATGTCCGGTGCTGTGAGTCGAGTAGCAAAGACGTACTGTACTTACTTTGCATTCCTCGTTCATGCTGACTCTGCTTACCTTGCAGATTCATCGTGAGAAATAACGGCTTCGCCATCTCCACACCCGCTGCGGAGCAGTACATGGGCGACGGCATCGCCTCTCGAGGCCCGGGCTACGGAATGCCTGCCATCCGAGTCGATGGAAACGACGCTTTGGCGGTGCGAGCAGCAGTCAGCGAGGCGCGGACACGAGCCATCAAGGAGCAGAGACCAATGCTGATAGAATGCATGACCTATCGGGTCGGTCACCATTCCACAAGCGACGATTCCAGCGCTTACCGCAGCGCATCGGCCGTCGAAAATTGGAAAAAGGTAGACAATCCGCTGCATAGGATGGCCTCCTACCTCCGAGATCGAGCCTGGTGGGATGATGCCATGGAAGAGGAGACGAAAAAGGCATTTAGGAACGAAGTGGTGCGCGCGATGGGAGTCGCCGAGAAGAAGAAGAGGCCAAACTTGAGCTCCCTCTTTGAGGACACGTGGACCAAAGTGCCTCCAATCCTGCAAGTCAGTCACGACGATCGCGGGTGATGTCCTTGACCACGACGAACGCAGCCAAGGCGCTGCAAACGCTGACGCTCTTCCTTGCTCAATCACTTTCGTTTGAACAG